GTCGAAATCCTGCTTGATTCTCACGAGTCAAGACTTCGCGTGCCGCCATGAGACGACGAAGAATCAATAACACCAGAAGGCTTGTCACCACCAACTACCTCCAAACCTGAGCGCCGGCCTTCAACAGAAGGATGGACTGTGAATATGAAGCCCTTTCGGCCTCAGGATCGTCCGAGTGTATATCTATACTCAAGCGCCATTGCGCTCCTGATCTTGACCACCTTCATCCAGTTTATTCAGATATAGTGGTGATTTTACCAGCTCGTACATGTTTTGCTCTTCTGCACCTATTTATAGAAAAAAGCCTACCCAGCTCACTTGGGTGAGAGGATAATAGTGCTCATTTTCAAAAAAGGTTTTCCCGGAGAAGGTAGTTACCCCAGAGGAGTTATTTTGACTCACGCCGTAACCAGGATTCTGGCGTCGCTGATTCATCTTACGGCGGCACGCCAATCCGCGATCCGCGAGCATCAAGCGGGATTTTGGCTATGTAAAGGCTGCGTTGACTACAACTTCACACTGTCAGGTGTTACAGCAAAGTCATATGTATAGACAATCCACATCCCTGGTGTCCCTTTACTTCAAGAGTGTGTTCTATCCCGTCAACTGGTCAGTGCTTTCAACCATACTTGCCAGAGTATGCCCCAGAAGTTTGTGCCTCCTTCGGGTGAAATAGCAGCTAGGCATCAAAGGGGTGTTACAACTGAATGATTTTCTCGAGAAGCCTCCCCACTAAAAGTGATACCTGACAAGGATATCCACTCTCTTTATTCTTGTTCAACTTCGTTGTCGATGGAATAATGAGGCGAGCGCTAGAAAGCCTTCGAAATCCCGGTGTTCAAATTGTTGCTGGTGACAAACTTGTCGACAATGAGTACACAGACACCTTTGAAGGCGAAGGTGGAGCACAAGCTTTGCTGAAAAAAACTGGCCACCATCTTTGGATAGGTATCTTGCACCTTCAAATTGCAAAGTCTTGCTTCAGAAGGTGCAGTCTCCGAACATATCTCTTACAATTCAAAGAATCACTGTAGGTTGTGGAGAATTTTTCATACCTCGTCAGTTTTGCCAGCTCGGACGGATGCGTGTCTGATGAAGTTAGTGAAAGGATCTCACAGGCCCAAACCACGTTCGTTGATTTGCGTCACCCGTGGCACAAAAAAGGAATATCACTGGGCCTCAGGGGCCGCGCATACCAGGCTACAGTAAAGGTTGTGTTGGTGTATGGTTGCGAGATGTAGCCTCTGCGGACAGATGATGTGAGGCCTCTTCAGTTCTTTTGCCACAAATGTCTCAGAAGTGTTGCTGGTGTCGGATAGTGTCAATGGATTTGTAACGAGGTTATTAGAAAACAGGTAGTTGGTTGTGTAGCAGATGCTCGTCGCACAGAACATCCAGAACCTTCCACGCATGCCGAAACACCGTCTACCGAGACTAGTGTTGTTCCCCGTGCCCCCTTCAGAATGGTGAAAACCATGAGGCGGAGAACGTATGAATTATTACAAGGGTATGTAAGAGATTGCGAAGAGTTCGGATGTTGTTGGTGCGGTGCGCCTTCCCCATGACCCCTCTTCCGCTTGGATGGAGATGTTGCAAGAAACACCCGCTGATCGATGTCAGCGGCGTTCGTGTTGTCAGTTCCACCCCAAGATAGATGGGCTGACAAGGCCCCGCGGGTTGATCGTGTTCTCCGGATGACAATCGACCGAATTCTTCGTTGAATCATTTTCGCACAACCATATGGATATTAAAGAGCTAAATGTGGTTAAGCAAAGGTGAAGAGAGGGGTATGAAATCCCATACCAGCAAATTGTGATGGCCACTTCCATGGTGGAAGCCCCGGGACGGGGCACATCAATGACGAGAAATACTGATATACGTGGTGCAACAGCGTGCACGGTAGCATGCATGCATCCTAGGTGCTGCCTTCGGCACAAAACTGCCCCTCTCAAATTCTCCATAAAAAGTTCACTGACACTCCTGGATAATAAAGTAATCGTTAAAATAGTTAGTTAGTTAATAATGGTTACAATGATTTCTGCGTCTATCTGCCGTGCCACTCTAAAGAAACAGAATATCACTATTACCACAGCTTTCCCATCCTTCATTATTGTGACCTATGAGGAGTTCATGGAGGGCTCCGTAGGATTTCAATAATAAATAGAACCTTAATTCGGTTTATATGCACTGCAACAGCGTTTTCAAGTGTTTGTCCCATTCGCACTCCGTCTTTGCGTAAGGTGTGACGCTTTTTTAAACATAACCCCTGGCAACTTACACGGTCTCTGCATGCATGCGATGGGAATGTTGTTGACACAAATCAGTGATACCTAAAGGGCCATTCAGCGACTACTACGTCGCAAATGTGGTATTTATCGTACAGGTCCAATTTACATGTGACGAACTAAGGATAAATTGCTTCCGAGTTTGTGAAAACAGCATCAGTCAAAGAAACACGATGGACTGGATGCTGCTAAGTTGCCGGGGTTGGGTTCGAGTCATGGACATTCTAGTCAGTAAATCTGCATGTAGACCATTGAGCCGCCTAAAGGTCGACCCCCGGATTCGCGCATCAAATACATCAGCTACTTCCTCCAATGCGTAACTGTCTCCGATTACCTCCCCAGACCATTAGCGGACGAAACCGTGGTAGCTATAAGCACCTTACACTTCGCGGCCTCAATAGCTGAAGATAATGAGGAAGACAGAAATACAAACTTGGATTGGCGAATTCAGAGTCTAGATTAATGACCGAGCGCGTGAAGCTTATGAGTGAAGAATATTTTCCAAAGCGTGAGGTTACCAGTGGTATGAGAGGTGTAATCAGTGAGCAGGATCTTGGTGGAATAACAACCAGCACGTGAGTAGGACACCCCAGGTTTTCACCAACTGCGCCTCCTTGTTTATATACAACGATTTTAAAGACGTCCCACGAATTTACCATCCTCTGCAGCAATAGAAACGTGGACTTAGAACTGGACTGTCTACATACAAAACTCAGGACCTCGAGGGACTCGCTACACACCGTCACTTCTGGCGAGGAATGATATGAAGTCAAACACTTATAAATTCATTTTCCCAATCGGTGGCAATAAAATCTATCTTGAAGAAAAACAGTTTAGCCCCGAGAAATTGACGCCTGAAGGAGCAAAAGTGTTTTGCTGAAATCAAGAT